ATCTTCCGTATTCCGGGGCATAGGTGGTGGGAAAGTGGTGAACATTCAAATGGAGTTTGCTTGTTCAGATGGTTGGTGCACTTCATGATAAGACTGCTTCCTTCCTACTAAAATATGAAATCAAGGTGCTGCTCCAAATGGCAGCTTGCCACTGAAGCAGATTGTCAGCCTGAGTGCTGTGTACTGAGAAAATATATTCCTAAGAGTGATAGTACATCTTCACATGGAGTCAGATCACAAGTCAAAAATTGTATCTCATCCTCTTAGGACCTTGTCACTTCAGCAACATAAATCTTTTAGTGCTATGTGACAGAGGTAAGCCATGCAAATCAGCCATGCTACATTCCAAATGATCAGTTACAGATGATGAAATTACAATTAATTTGCCAATTGCAGATTGAGGCAATCTCATGTTACAACAAATAATTTTTTTTCCTCTTCAAGGGTGCACTGCTTCTATATATGGAATCACCATCTCATCTAATGAAGCCCTTTATGTTGTTAAATAATAAATAGAACCATTGTCAGGTTCTATGCCATCATTTTGCACTTCCAAATCAGATCAATTTTACAACCCCTCTTTTCAGGAGCCTAACATTACACCCGCCACATCATTGGGGCAAGAGTATGCAAACGTTGGTGAAGGATTTTGCCAACATCTATTTGTAGGGCTTCACGGATTGCTGCCTTGTCATGGTGAAGGGGCTTGAGTAACTCAGGGAAGCTATGGGCTATGTCGTGCAGGGACACCCAAGACGGACAGGTCATAGTGGAGAGTTCCGACTAAATGCAATCCACCTGGAGTAGGAATTGGCAAGCCACTCCAGCATTTTTGCCAAGAAAACTCCGTGGACAGAAACAAAAGGCTAAAAGATATGACGCTAGAAGATGGGCCCCTCAGGTCGGAAGGCGTCCAACATGTTATTGAGGAAGTGCGGCGGACAAGTACAAGTAGCTCCACAGTTAATGAAGTGGCTGGGCCAAAGCCGAAAGGACGCTCAGTGGTGGACATGCCTGGAAGTGAAAGGAAAGGCCGATGCTGCAAAGAAAAATACTGCATAGGAACCTGGAATGTAAGATCTATGAACCTTGGGAAGCTGGATGTGGTCAAACAAGAGATGGCAAGAATAAACATTGACATCCTGGGCCTCAGTGAACTAAAATGGACAGGAATGGGCGAATTCAATTCAGATGATTATCATATCTACTATTGTGGGCAAGAATCCCATAGAAGGAATAGAGTAGCCCTCATAGTCAACAAAAGAGTGGGAAAAGCTGTAATGGGATATAATCTCAAAAATGATAGAATGATGTCAATACGAATCCAAGGCAGACCTTTGAACATCACAGTAATCCAAGTTTATGCTCCAACCA